GGCCACTGCACTCCAGTCTGGGCAACGGAGTGAGACTCCAACTCAAAAAAAAAAAAACCACCAATACCTGGGTCTAGACTCAGTTACCTGAGGGGATTCTGGGGACACTAAAGACACAGAAATCTTGTTGCAGGGTTGTCCACAGGGAAAAGGGCATTTCCACAGATAGGGTTACCAACTGTCCAGGAAGACTGGACAGTCCCAGTTTTAGAACCGAAAATCCCACACTCCAGGAAACTCCTTGGTAGTAGGAAAATGGAGATAGTTGGTCCTCTGCCACAGAGGAAATCAGGGGACGTCCACCCCATGTGGAGAGGTTCATTATGAGAGGATTATAAGAGGATGCGCCAGCCAGCTCTGAGCTGGGAAGTACAGAGAGGGAGTGAATCTGACAGATCCAAGTGGCAATAGTAGGGATAGACACGCACCCCCCTGCCCCCACACGCACATGCATGTGCACAGAGCAGAAGTGGAAATGCGGAAGGAGGAGAGGCCAGGAAGTTGAAGAGCATGGAGGAGAACAGGCAGCAGACATGACTCTACCAGGCAGTCTGAAAGCTCCCTGGACCCCAGACCAAAGGGTCAAAAAGGAGGAAGCAGGGCCATCCAGCTAGTGAGCTGTATAAAGCTTTGTGCAAGGAAGAGACACCTAGACACTGCTACCTCTGTCGTGGGAATCCTGAGGCTCATTTGAGAAGTCAACACACGTGAGACAACTAAGATGCATTTATATAAAGACAGATGGCTGGGTGTTGTGGCTCATGCCTATAATCCCAGTGCTTCAGGAGGTCAAGGCGGGAGGATTGCTTGAGCCCAGGAATTCAAGAGCAGCCTGGGCAACATAGCAAGACCCCCTCTCTACAAAAATTTTAAAAAATTAGCTGGGCATGGTGGTGCACACTTTTAGTCCCAGCTACTTAGGAAGCTGTGGCGGCGGGATCACTCAGGAATTCAAGTCTGCAGTGAGCTATGATCACACCACTATATTGGGTGACAGAGCAAGAGCCTACCTCTAAAAAATAAGTCAATAAAATAAAATAAAGACAGATAAGCCACTCAGTATAGAGACTGCCTCCTCTACCTGCCATTGTCAGGGAACAGAGTATTGCACATAAATGGATTTTCCAGATCACTTGAAGTTGACCTTTTCAAGTAGATAAAAATGTATTTAATTGGCCTAATTGGGAAATAAACTTTCCTGAAATAGATTATACACATCCCTGACTTATAACAGACATTACAGGTAACATAATCTTGATGACTCAGGGCCCGTCACAATGAATATGCTTTATTATGTAATTTCATAAGGCCCAGTGGTTAGTTAAATCAAGTTTAACACCAGCCATGTGCAGGACACACTGAAAGAGGAATATGGCCTTGTTTCTCTCCCAGAGTCCTGCCAGGTCTTCAGTTTTTCTGTCTCCTTCACTGTGACTGCAGCATTGCTCCTACCGAATTTGCACCCCAGTGGAGCACTGGTGGGGAGTGCAGGTGGCTTCAACTGTCAACTTTGGGGCAGGTGAGACAGTCAGTGTGAGAAGCAGATTGTCTTCAAAGATGGGGGGGAGGAAGAGAAAGGGAGGAAATAAAGGGAGGGGGAGGAGGAAAAATAGGGAGCCGCCCAAAGGCCAGGACACAATCCTAGCCCGCAAGGAGCAAAGTACAACCGAGACACAAGACAAGAACATACACTAAGCAAAGGACGGTTATTGACTATGGCTGATGTTGACCATGACGGTGGTGGAAGTTCAGAGACAGAAAGTTATCGGGGCTGGTTAGACTCGGATTCCATAGACTTGTCCTTCGAGACGGAACCCAATCCTCTCATAGGAAACAGAGGCCCAAAGAGAAGATGGGTTTTGCCCACACCACAGTAGTTTTGTGGCTGGACCAGACCCTAGAGCCAGATCAGAGAAGGCAACATGGAAGCTTCGGGAAGTAGACGAGGGGCCTTTAAAGGTGTTTTCAGGCTGGGCATGATGGCTCACGCCTATAATCCCAGCACTTTGGAAGGCGAAGACGGGAGGATAACTTGAAGCCAGGAGTTTGAGACAGGAGCTAGCAAAAAACGATGTTCTCCCCTGCTTTCTCCCCTGTCAGAACTGAACAAAGGCAGAGAGAAGTGGGAATGAGAAGGCCTGAGCAAAAGCAAGTATCCTGGCAGAACAGGACGCAGTGACTCTCACAAGTGGTATGGCCTCATAAGCATGAACTTCAAGAGCATGAACTTGAGAGTCAGGCAGCCTGGGTTTTGATTATGTAATTTCATAAGGCCCAGAGGTTAGTTAAATCAAGTTTAACACCAGCCATGTGCAGGGCACACTGAAAGAGGATTCCAGCTCTACAGCTTCCTAGCTGTGCAACCTTGGGCAAGTTACTTCACCTTTTCACATCTCAGTTCCCTAATATGCAAACAAGGGTAATGATAATGCCTACTTCTCTGTTGAGGATTAAGTGGTTTGAGGCATGTAAAATGCTTAGAGCAGTGCCTGGCATATAGCAAGCGCTCAAGAAATAAAATGGTGACTATTAGTGTAGTGGTAATAAAGGAAATTACAGTAGACTAAGCAGAGGAGTTTGAACTTGCTCTAGGTACTGACAGCCATACTGCATACTGAGAGCTGAAGAAGTACACGAAACAGATAAAACCAAAGCATCATTTGCTTGGGGCTGTTGTTGTTGTCTGTTTTTGGTTTTTTTTTGAGTTGGAGTCCCACTCTGTCGCCCAGACTGGAGTGCAGTGGCCGCTCCC